TATGATTATAAAAAATGTTCAAGTAAAATTGGCATATAATTTTTAAATATTTGTGCTTTTCTGCACATGTGATTTCTGGATAATTAAAATTTATGAAATAAAGAAGAAAAATCCATTTTTTTCTAAACTTGTATCAAGAATTTTCAAGGTACTTAAGCAACAGCAGTAGCAAGAAATTTTTTCATTTTTTATTTTTGGTCAGGCAGTAACACCTTTATCAATTTTGATTCTTGCAGAAATTCTTAAAAGATTGTGAACGTGAAACTTTCTTATAAAACCTTGAAGAAAAAAATATACACTAAAGAACAACTTATAGTTTGTATTTATATCTGAATTGATATGGTAAAAGAAAGAATAATATTGTGACTTTATATTTTGCAGTGAAAAAGAAACCAATTATTTTTGTCTTTGATGAGATCTTCATGTAAAGATGAACTTAAAATTTAATTTGTAGTAACAAAAAACAAATTAAGGGTTAATTTTTTTTTCATATCTAATTCTATTTTTATATTTTTTAATGTAAATTATATTTAAATTTTTGAGTCGACTTAAGGTGAGAGAATATGCAAGGAGTGAAAAAAAAAAAGCTAAGAAAATGACTAACTGTACATTACAAAAGATATTAGATAAGGATGAAAAAATTAATTCAAGTAATGTAGAATGCTTGCTAATTCTTAAACTGTTCTCTTTTAAATGCAGCCTAGAACAATAAGTCAGTTTTCTTTCAATTGTGAAATATTTGCTGCAAGATGAAAAACTTCAATTAAAAACAGGCCATAATAATGAATTGAAACTCCTCCCAAATTTTGTAGTCAAAATAATGACTTAAAATTTTCTTTGTTACTTTGCACTTTGGTCCCAATTGGAATAAAATAAAAAATCAGGATATTGTTTTTTTTTTTTAATCTCATCTTAGCATATCAATTATTTCAGTCATGAAGCAATAGAAATTAAAAGGCATACAATGGTCCCCCATTGATATTAATAGAGACAAGATTGACTAAATAATGTGAATAAAGACTTAATTGGTCCCAAATTAAGAATGAAAGAAGCATCTAAAGTTAGGGAACAAAATGAAAGAATGGTTTGTGTAAATTTTCATAGAGAAAGGGCAACAAGTTCAAGAACGTAGCTTAAACGACAGGACACTAAACAATAAAACACTTATGTGGAAGGATTGCCATTATTTAAGTAAAGAAAATAGAGGTTTTTTTGTTTCTCTCTTTTTTTTTCTCAACTGTTTGTAACTTCCCAATCAGATACTGTAGCCAAACAAAAAGAAAAAAAAAGTTATTTAAAATGATATTTGAGTCTAGAAAAATTGTCAACATTGGCCTTTCTTATTATAGTTTCTGAAGTATCCCAATACAATGAGGTTATTTTTTTTTAATATTCATAAAATATATGTATATTAAAGAAATATAAATTTTTAAATATATCTAAATTACTAAATTCTACTGGACATTATAAATTAGCCTTTCATGATATAAAAGCAGAATTTATTTTGTAAAAAATCCTTAGATTTTTATACTCAAGGATATTTTCTCTGGGATGTAATGAAATAATCTTAATTAAATGGCATTAGACTTGTACAAAGATTCTCCTGAAATAAGTAGATTCCAATGAAATTCAAGGAAAATATATAACTAGGACCATTTAAAATACATTTTAAGTACATCAAAAGAGAAGAGTTTTTAATTCATTAAGCCCTCTAATCCGAATGGGACTTAATAAGAATGGGCAATTTTAAATATTCAACATCTCATCAATCACTATTTCTATCAAAATAAGTAAAAGAATAATCAACTAGTTTTTTTTGGTTTTAAAAAGAAAATCCTAAATGGTTTTCTTTTTAAAACCTAAAACAATTCAGCATAAACCATCATTATAAAAAGAAATTGCAAACTTCACTTCAAGATTGCTTATAAAAAAGCAATGTTAAATGCAATTAAATATTATGAAGAGATAAAGGAAATGAGAATCAGTAGACCCCATTAGACATGGTTGCATGGAACTGTAGGAAAATCAAAGAAATTTTAGTGTATCAAAATATGCTTTCTGAAAACCATACTTTATGCTATAGAGATGGCCTTTTGTATACTTCCATCTGAAATTACATTAATGAAATTCAAACTTAATCATATAGATTATTCTTTAATTATCTTTCAATATGTCATGGTTCAAATGGTAATGTCACAGATTCTTTGCACTAGAGTGAAACATGTTCTTATCAAGAGGTTCTCAATGATTTCCGATTTGTAACATACTAGTGAAAGGACACCTCTATAACATAAAACAAATGCATTCACATACATTTCCAAAGAGTGATTTCTTGGAAAAACAAGCAAGCATTATTTTTGATATCCCCTAATAAGAACAGTAAAAAATTTAAAAAAGAAAAGAAAAATAAATAGAAATAAAAAAAAAAGAAAAAAAAAGAAAAGAAATTGGTCTGAGTCAGAACATTAGATTTGTGTTTGTTGGTCACTATCAAATGTAACGCTCTGCTTGTGTTAATTCATATTTGACCACTGAATCAAGGTAATTCCTGTATGGGAACACAGACTTCTGGGCAACCACAACAGGTAGCAGAGAAGGGCTTCAAAAATTAGACATACATCTACTCCCAAGTTAAATCATAGGAAAAAAAAGTATAGAGCTTATCTTTTCCAGGGTATTTTGCAAGAAAAAGAGCTTTCAAAATTTAATGGACATGTTCATATTCACATATTTACAAGGTAGGCAAACAATGAGCTTCAGATGGCAACTTGTTTAAACAGACAAAAAGCAAGCAAGCAAAAAAAAAAAAAAATAAATAAAAAAAATTAAAAAAAAGTAGCTCTTGAAAATAACATCTGGATTGTTCAACGGTGAGGATATTTGTTATGAAATTAACATAAATAATAATGTTAAAGTGTATAATACATAAAAGATGAGCCCTCACTATCTGATCGTTTATAACGGTCCCTTATTCATTCTAAAGAGTCATTTTATTAAATAGAAATTTACAAAAAGAGAAAAAGATAAAATAAAAATGTTTTTAATAGTTTTTCTGAAATTGAACTTTTTTTGTGTGCTTCGTCTCTGTTTCCAAATCCAAAACTCAGCTTCAGTAAAGAAAATGCACATTTTGGTTCAAATTGATTCTTTAAATTAATATCACAAGTATGAGTGGGAAGTATTTAGAGAAAAGAAAAGCTTATTGAATTAGGAAAATTGGAACTGTAAATAGCAAATAAACAGAAAAATCAAATATGCATAAGTTTTGAAAGGCATGAAAATGAAGATTGTCCACTTATTTCTTTATTTGACGAGTGATTATTGCAAAGAATAAAACAAATTTTTTTTTTATCACAGAAAACACTTGCAATTTTTTCATATTTCAAATGTTGATTAAATAAAATAATGCTACGACATTAAATTCAATAACAGAATTTAAACAAATTTATCACAATGTTAAAAAATAAATTTTGGATTTTAGTGAACAACAACTTGCTTTCATAACTCATCTCCGATATTATCTCATATTTTGTTGCAATTTCATTAACAATATATCAGATAATAGAAATATTCTAGCAGAGTAGAAAGAATTGGGTAAGAATTATAAAGGTAGTCATTAAAATAAACATTTTTTTCAGCAGATATACAACAAAAAGGAAAATTATCATCAATACTTAGAATTTGTAGCAACAAAAATGTTCAAATGATTCTTTTTCTGTTGTACTTTTGAGTATTATTTTAGAATGGAGAACTACTTTTTAGAGTAAACAGAATTTTTCTATCATAAAAATGTCTTAAAAGATAAACATATGCAAAAAGTATAATGATGACAAGAATGGCAAAGTATTTAACAAAACTCAGTGATAAAATTATTTTAAAATATTTAGCTTTATTCTGATTTAGAAAAGTATTTCTAAATAATTTTGTTTTATATTTTATGATCAAATAATATTAATAACATAATGATTATAAATGGATTCTTATACCAATTTGGAAATGTTGTGCTTAATATACTCTGTATATATTTACTACTATGCTCTTTTATTATTTTATTTAATTTAAGAGTAAACAAGTTTATGTCTGAAATTGTGTGTGCTTACAGAATATCTATAAAGTAAACCACTTTAGGAGAAAGTATCTCGTTACAACTCTTGAGTAAAGGTGAACAAATTAATCAATTTTGAAGACTTGACATCTTTGTTGGAATCCTATTCGTATAAAAATTACTCAACTTGGTTTATTCTTACTCTGCTGTTCTAATATCTGTTCAAATATAATGAAATGTAATTTTGGGGGGGGATAATCACCTACACAAATGAGCAAGAATGATATTTACAAGCTATTAAACAGATGTTTTCCAAAAACGAACATTTCTATACAACTTCATTTGCTTAAAAATAGGAAACTAAGCAAAATGAACAGTTAGAAATTCAAATAGGAATATGCATTAATTGACATACAATTAGAAGCAAAGAATTCTGTATGAACCAACTTGTATAGTTTCTGACTCAATGAAATAGGTTTGCTGAATTTGAAGATTACAGTGAAAGCTAAAAAAAAAAAAAAAAAAAAAAGATTTGACAGCTCGTACTGAAACTAATGATAAAATATATGAAATAAATGTAGTACCATTTCAAGGCATCCGGAATCATTTGATAAAGAAGTACAAAAAAGCAAAACAGAAAATGCTATCACCAATTCTGACAAGTTGCCATAAGAAACTAAAAATAAAAAGGCATGCAATACAAAATTTGCCTATGTAAAGTTATAATTTAAAACAATGCAAACAATTATTTGGTTAAACTTGTCTGTTCTTTTCCAATTTTCTATTCTTCCCCACCCCGATGAAAGAACATCTTTAGTATGAGCCTCAGATTTCTTTGACCAGAAGCAATGTTGGCATGTAGGATTGTTAAAGCTGATAGGAGCACAAGCCTGATGATAGTCCTTACATATTTCTGGATCAAATTTGTGACATTTGATGGCTTCATAGATTGGCATTATACAAAGGAACTGCTTGGAGAATGAATCTTCTTGGTTTTGTCTTTGCTAAAAAAGAAAAATGTTAAAAGAAAAATGAAAAGACCAAAAACATGTGTGCGCACACACATATGCATACGCAAGAAAAAATTGAACATTTTGTGAATCTCTTATCCAAAATTTCCAAATCCTTCTGGAAGCTGAAATTAAAGCTATTAAGTCTAAACATATTATGGTAGTCATGTCTAGGCTTATAGTCAGATATAGACATCTTGTATTTGTCATTATTTAAAAGAAGTGGAAAAAATAAATAAATAAAAAAGCAGCAAAAAAAGCAGAAAGTAAAAAAAAAAAAAAGAAGCAAAAATACTTATTACTTGTTTATGAATTTTTCTAACTCTTTCTACATTTATGAAGAAAACATTATTTAAAGAGTTCATAAGAATTTTATTTTGCTGTTTTAAAAAAATGATCAAGTTGAACCATAAAAACAAAAGTGTTATTCAATCTCCCACAGCTGCTAAATTTAAGTACAAATTCAGACTGGTCTTGATCAAAATATATTCTATCTGCCGAGTTAGAAAATTTAATCTACAAGTGTGAGTCAAAAGCACTCAGCAAATTCTAAGACAACAAAAACAAAAAATGCCAATCAGTAGCAAAAAAAAAAAAAAAAAAGAAAAAAAGAAATAACTAACTCAATATGAAGTGATTCATGGTATTGAATAAAAGCAAATGCTAAGCTTATTTTCAAACTATTTAAAAGAACACATAAAGATGATGTAAATCATTTATCTCTTGTCATTGTTATAGTCAATCAGCCAATATTGTGAATTATGTAGCAAATATAGTAAGAGATTAAAAGAAAACAGTTATCATTTGACATGATGCAAAGATTTATTTCACGCATTGTGATTTTTTGAAATCATAAAGGTTAAAAATTATATTTTAAACTGCTAATAACTGAGAGAAGTCTAAAAGGATAAAAATTTATTTTTCAAAGTATATTTTCAATATCAAACTTATATATACAATGTCATTCCTAGTTTTTTACTATTGTAATTATCATAGCGTATTCAATTTTCTTGTGTATTTGGATTCATGTTGAATTAAGACGGCACAAACTTGTCTTTCTTCAAAAGCAACTACTTCTCAAGCCCTAACCAATAATTTCTTTATTTCCTGGGATATTTTTTCTTCATTTTTCAGTTCATTAAATTTTTAAATATATTTAAGAGGGTGTTGGCACCAACCTGTTTATGAGACAAACACTTTACACAATAAAGACTGTTTATATCAATAATGCAGTTATTGAAACTTGGCTATACATATTTTGGATAATAGTATTACAATCTTCAAACACATTAGATATAATATTCTTAAAAATGCAAAGAAAAAAAAACATGAAAAAAAAAATACAGATTCCAGCAGGGGCACAGAGCTAACTCTCCTTAAACAAACTCTGGTTACTTACAATTGTTGAGAAAAATACTCTACACTTTTTCTTGTCTTTCTGTAAATATGTAAGGCTTAGCATTATTTAGGGAAAATAATGCTGCAGGTTTTCCTGTTTAAAAAAACAAAGAAAATATAAATGACTCACAACATGTGTCATTGTGACAGTCACATATACATAGGATGCACATGCTGAGAGATCATGGCCTAAACAGACATTTAGGCAAGCACGTATAGCCAAAAATTCACAAGATATGTGTATACATGCATGGACATAGATTAACACATGCATACATATACATGACCACACACACACACACACACATATATATATATATATATATCAATTACATATTTACTGAGGTATAAGAGTGCAGATTTGGTATTTTTAAAATGCTGACAGTAAAAGCAGTGGTATGTGGGGGAAGGAATAGGTTCCTTTTCTTACCATGCTTTTTCTTTATTTTTACAAAAAACAGAATTTTGAATTTTCGCAATTCTTAAATACAGCATAGCTTTTCTGGAAAATCTAATCATATATCATTCTGATATAATCATTCCTTATCTTTTTTAATGTCATAAGATGGCAATACATCAAAATGCTGATAAAAGTAAAATTATAACTGTTTAAGAGAGCAGGCAGTAATTTGAAAGTATTTTCCTTTCATAATTTTTAATACTACCAATACTGAAATTCTCTTGTAAGAATGATTCTACATCATACAAATCTTGACTTTTACAAGCATTCATATTTTACAGGTTCACCAAGCTCCAGAAGTGGAAAACATGCATAAGAAAAAAACATAAACATGATATTTAATAGCTTACATATGTAAAATAATGTTTATATGTACAAGCGGATGTTGAAAAAAAGAATCAGCAATATCAATGGTCCTGGCCTACTGTCTTAGCTTCTTTCATTTTCCCACCACCTTAAAGCTGTTTCTTTGTGTCTTTTCTATAAATATTTTCATGGTAATTGTTTGGGTAAGCTCCTTGCTATGGTACTTAGACTTTATGAATTTAAGTGCAGTAGTAGACTCATGTCGAGATATCAGTTTACAATTGAGTTGGCATGATGTAAACGTAAGGTCTATGTTAACAATTTCTATTCTCGTACTTATCATTTGTGGAACTCTCTTTCAGCTTCATACATTCTACCCATCTTTGACCTTCAAAAATTTAAATGTAATGTCAATTGCTATTTACTGTCTAATTACTCTTCTGTTGTTCTCACTCCTTAATAATGTTTCTGTTTTCTAATTTTATAACCTGTTACGTCTTAGTGGATTTACTGCCTTGCATGGGGTGAATTTGATTAAAAAGGAAAGTCAAATGCTGTCAATACAAATAAAATTAAACTTACAACTTGTATAAAACATTCAACCTTTTTCACCCAAATAAATGATAATTGTTGGCAAGAATAAATTTGAAAATTTGGACAATATGCAGTAGCACAGAAATAATAGCCGTCTTAGCTGATGAATATAAAGTATGTTTCAATATTCATTAACTTTCTGCCAATCAGGAAAGAAGTCTTTGAGAAGAAATCAATCAGGTTATACAATTGCATTCATGATGGAGTTGAAATACAGAGTTGTTGTATTTTAGATTCCCTCTTTGCCAATACATCATAGTTTAGAATTCCTCAAATCTCAACTTTGGTTCTCTTTGAGTTTGTTGTGTAACACAGGTTATGATAACCACAATATTAGGTCAGTAACACAGATAATTGGAAACCAGAATACTGAAGGTTTACCAACAAACATGGCAGCAAACCACACACAGTACAGACATTTCCAGGTTTTATATGCAAGAATGCTGTTCTACTGTTTGTAGTAACCATCTTATAGCTTTAGTGGTTAAGTCAACTTTATAAATCTGAGGCTTGATACAACTTGAGCTTAAACAATTGCTAATCACTTGAAAAAAAATCCCCAAAAAACGAACAGATATTCTGTGAATACGGACAAAACTACATCTGCAAACTGTAAGCATCACAAATAGCATTTTAAGGCAACACTGCTAAATTTGATGTACATTAAATAAAAAATAAAGGCCTGAATTTACTGTGATAAAAGAGAACTTAAGCTTTACAAAAGATTCTAAATGAACATGGTACAGTGCAAAGGAGAATATTTGCTCAAAAAAAATTTTATTTTTATATGAAGCTATGGATGAAAAGACATAGAACTTAAGATTTAATGTTGGTAAGAATCAATTGCCTTAGTTAAATTTTTGTTTTTAATTTTTTTACTTCAGTTATCTCTTAAATATAGATATTTTTTTACCCGATGTATTGTATTTCAAGTTACCTACCTTTTATGTTTTGCTCGTTTGAGTGTTGCTGTTGATGAACTTATCATTGGACTCAGTTTATCACGAATACTGTAATATGTTCGTTCCATTTCTCTTTGGTATTCTTTTTGTTCAGATGTAATGAGAGACTTATTCCTAAGTAAAGCATCCCAACACCTGTTTTAAAAAAATCAGACAAGAAAAAAATTACACAAGTAATAACAATAGAAGATAATATTTTATTGAATATTTTTAAATAAATACAAAGAAAATCATTTAGATTTGTAGTCGGATTGGCAAATAGGATTTTACTTATTTGGATATGTTAGTTATAAGATAAATAAAGTGTAGGGTAAAGAGTCAGACAACAGGAAGTTGACTACTGATCACGTGTCGTAAAACAACACTTTACAATAATATCTGTAATTACAGAAAATAGTTAAATATCTAAACTTACTCTCATATTACTTTTCATTTTTTACAGATCAAAATTTTTAAAAAAATATGTTATAAAATGAAGCTACAATTTAGCTTTCCATTGTCAAAGGAGAAAGTTCTTTAAATTTATATGTGTATTAATAAAAAAATTTCAAAAAGCTCTTTTTGGGAGGAGTCATGTAGATAGAAATAGGTTTCTTTTTTGTACTAAATATCAAACTTCAGTGATAAAGCTGAGGGACTGCTGAAAAGTTCTCAGCCTTCCTAAGAAGTCCCCCCCCCCACACACACACACACCAAAAAAAAAAAAAAAATTGATGTTTGGCCATTTTTTTAAATTTTTGGAAACCGCTTTTCAGCACCACCTTGGATAGAAGTCTTTTTGTTAGGAATAACATAAGAAAATAAGGAGGAAATTAATCTTACCTGCATTTTTCAAAGAATATTGCAATTAACCTCTAAAATTAAATAATTTCCTGTTTTGAAATTACAAGTTAGTATTTCTTGTGTAATAGGATCATAATATACAAAAACCCTTAATGAATATTTCATAAAACTTTTGAAGCTAAAAGTAAGTGTATGAATTTCAAAAACAACATAATTAGAAGCTAAATGATTAACTGTATATAACATTTGACACTGAAGATTTAGTTGATATGTGCAACTGTTTAGAAGAAACAAACTGGATATTTGGGGTTTATGCAATATATTGCAATGTTTTGTTTTCTTTATTGTTGAGGGCTGAATTCTTGGAAAATTATTCAAGAAGTGGAACTTACCGCTTGAGGAATTCTTTGAAACATAATCTTAATTTATTGTGATGTTTACTAGGCACTTGCTTACCCTCAGCCACTTCTTGGAGAAATACAAGAGCCACTTCAACTGGGCCCTATAAAAAGAAAAATAAATCTGTTAAACATGATTAAATACATCAATAGAAAATATTTGCTGAAATTTCTGAATGTATACCTATCAACAAATAATTTTTAAGCATTTTCATTTTTATACTTACACTTTCTGTTAACAAAACAATTCTTCCAACTATTCTTCATTAATATTATTCTCATTCCAAAACTTTTTGGTACTACCAACAAAAATAAAATAAATTAAAAAGAAACATTTTATATACAGGGCCAAATTGTTTTTTTTTTTTTATACCATGTCCATTCAAGATGTAAACAATCATGGTTCTTCATTGACTTCTTTTCTTTATTATCTGTAAATTGCTATTTCTTTGGAAAGATAGTGGAGTAGTTTCCCTATTGCTTTCTCTATGGTTTGGAATTCAGTTTTCCTTCTCTTAAACAGGTTGCTACGCAAGGCTGGAAAACTTGATCCTATTTAACTCCTGGCTGGGGGATGGTGTAGAGACAGATTCATGCCTTCCCCAAGGGCATTTGTGTGAAAGCAAATGCAATTTCACTTTCCATACTGATATCATTACACTATCCACACCCAAACAGATCAGATTCCCATTTTCTAAGAGAAATGTTTATTTTTACTTTGAAGTCAGAATCTCCATTTTTATTTAAAATTAAAACTTTTTGTAAATCTCTACATTAGAGAAAATGTTTAAATTATATTTTCACTATAACAAAGTTTGCTTCTTGATAGAGAATAAGCTCAGATTTGCCTTCCCCCCCCCCAGTTTCATGTTGATGAAAAAAAAGAAAAAGAATGTTCTGCCCCTACAGCCCACAGAAACCATTATTTCTGGCTATACCAGTGTGATATTTCTGATAACAACAGACACCTATTAATGGCTGTATGCAACAAATGTAAATGTGTCCTTGAAGTCTGTTTGTTGAGAGAATGAGGCACCATATTGCATGTAAAAATTTTGGCTCTTGTGATTACTGGTGGCTCTGTAACAGTGCATTAAATAAATGTAAGTTCTCTATTCCTCCTCCCTTCAATCAATTTGAGGTGTTAACATCTTCCACTGATAAAGCTGAATGTTTTGCTCATAAATTCTCTTTAAACTTTACTCTTGATTCATCTGGAGAATCCTTGTTTAACTTTCCACTTAGAACAGAATTTCTGTTGAGTGATATGCATATAACTTGTTCCATGGTTTCTGCTATCATCTCTAATCTGTATCTCTACAAAGCATGTGGACCTGATGGTATCCCTAAACTCAGAACAGATGAACTATCTGCCCCTTCTAACTATCGACATATTAGCCTTCTACCTCTTTTTGGCAAACTACTTAAGGCCCAAACAATGCTGAATTAGTTAAGCATCTCCCATCACAAGGTCTTGCAGAAAGAGTCTATAAAGCTGTAGATAAGAATAATGAGACTTGGGCTGTTGCCTTGGACATCTCAAAAATATTCTATAGGGTTTGGTATACAGGTCTTCTTCACAATTTGAAAAGTTATGGTGTCTACAGACAAATTTTTGAACTGATTCAATCTTTCTTATAAAATCATGAATTGAAAGTTATCCTGAATGGCCACTCTTGTAGATCCTTTTGTACTAATGCCAGCGTCTCCCAGAACTCTATCCTTGGTCCTCCTTTGTTTTTAATTTTCATTAACGACCTTCCCAATGGCATCAGATCTAAACTTGATATCTATGCTGATGACAACCATTTACTCTTATCTCAAATAGTAAATCTGATCAGTTCAATAAAGACAAATTAGCAGCTGATGTCAAAAACGACCTTCAGGCTGTTCTTAACTGCGGCAAAGAATGGCTTGTTTATTTTAAAACTAAACTGCCCTCTAATAATCCTCTGAGAGACCCCTTTCTGTCTTCCATCAGCATGGCTGATGCTAACCTTCAGGAGAGCAATCCTTTGTACCTTCTCTGGCTAATATTCTCAGCTGACATGAAGTGAAAAGACTATATTAAATCCATTGCTAGGTGTGCTGCAAAGAAAGTTGGTTCACTGTGCCGTGCTAGATAATTTTTCTCTCCAGAATCTATCTCACATCTACAGGGTGCGATGGATAAATTGTCGTTTAAATTATGCAAAAATGAAAATAAAACTGACATTTCAATTTAACAGAAATATTTACCAAAATTACACAAAAGTATCTTGAAATACTAAAGAGTAAATTTATTCAATAAAATGACCATTGGTTTCAACCACGGTCTCCAGATAACTTTGGAATCTCCTGCAACTCTTCTGGGCGGTCTCCTTGTTTATGTTGGTGAATGCTGCCATAATACTTGCCCTCAGTTCATCTTTGGTGTTACAAGGAGTTTTGTTGGTCTTTCACTCAACTGTGCCCCACACATAATAATCAAGGAGTTGCAGTCTGGGGAGTTAGGTGGCCAGATATAAAGTGTGATGTGATTGCAGAAATTGTCTGACAGCCATGACTGTGTTCTGCTTGTGCGTTATGGTGTAGAGTCCTGTTGCCAGATATAGGGTCTTCCAGCAACCACCCTCTTGACCCAAGGCAGCACTACCTCCTTAATGCACTTGATGTAGGCCTCAGTGTAGAGTCTGAGGTCCTCACCAAAAATTTGGGAGTTATTTTCTTATCAGAATGATTAGAGTGAGCTTTCCAAGCTGCTGTACCATCATAATCACCATTAGACTCATCCAACTCTTTTTGAATCCTCTGTACTTTCCTCAGATTGACATCCAAATACACTGAAATGTAATTGAAGTTTCTGATGCAAATGCCAAGCAGTACAGTAGGTACCTCCAGTCAGTTTTTCAATATCTAATGTTTAAAATGAATTTTTAAAAATGATAAAGCATTCTTAAAGATTTTATTTTAGCTTTAATTGAAAGGTAAAGGATTAAATTTATTACTTACAGTAAGTAACATATTCTGGTATATTTCAGATAGAAATTATATAGAATGGAATGTCAAATATAAGCTTGATTTTTTTTTTAATTTCTTAAAAGCGGCCATTTACTTAGATTTTAAGAAATTTGTAAACAAAAAGAATTTTCCATTTTAAACTTCTTCCTAAAATAAATTATATATTTTTGACACGTGATTTGAGTAAAATTAGAAAATTTAAAGTTAAATTAATCTGATTTGAAACAAACATTACTTACTTATAGCATAAAAAAATTGTATCCGAACATTTCTTAATGATGTGTCTGAATTTTCTTGTGACTTTATTCACGTTATTTTGGTTTTAACTAGTAATTTTTAAAATATTAACATTTTTTCAGCAATTATGTAATATTTATTTTTTAATACTTTTTTAGTCTGGGTTTTGTTCCTTAGGTTCTTAATCTTCTTATCTTATTTAATAACTTATTAACTTAAACAAAAAATTACTTCAATGAAATATGACCCAAACTAAAATAAATACCTAAAATAAAAATATTTAGTAAAAAAGTAATTAACAAAAATTAAAACTTAGAAATTTTGAAAGGACTTTTTGCAAACACGTTAACAATGTGAAACAGAACTGGATATTGAGGGGAAATAATTGCAGTGCCTCAGACAACAATCAAATCACCTGACCTTTTTAAGGATTATGTCATGTATAGCTTCCCCATAGATAGAAATTAGGAACGTTTTTCACTAAAAATTATTTCTAAAATTATTTTTAAAATATTCAGGTACAAACGACTTATGAGCTTTACAAATTTTGATTCGTAAATTTACTTTTCACTTAACCATATCACCAAATTGCATGTTTAAAAGCAATAAAGAATTTTAAACGATTTTTGAAGTAAATAAATTTTTTAAAAGATGAAACAAATTCTTGTAAAAATACATTATTCATAGAAAAAGTTTTATTTCCTCAGACAATAATGTCCTTAATATAATTTATTTACAAAAGCAAGTAAAGGCTTTTCTAATTGAATAATGTCATAGTTTTTTTTGCATTTATTTTTTTTACAATTCAGAGCAGATTTTCAATGAAACTGGTAACTGTTTTACAAAAAAAAAAAAAAAAAACTGGTGATTTACTTTCTTTAAAGTCCTGTTTTTAACTAATAAAAAAATCCCACTCTTAAAAATTTAATTTCTCGAATTTCTCTTGAAATTGTGTCTTAGTGGCTTTACTGCCTTGCTTCAGGTGAATTTGATTAAAAAAAAGAAAGAAAGAGGATCAATTAAATTGCAATAAAATGATTTCCTCCCAGACTTACTTGATTCACAGTAGTTCCAATGCATCCTTGCAGAACCATTTGTAACATTTTAGGGTCAGTAGGTTCTTGATTTAATGCAAGAGCCAATTCCTTGGTCTTTTTAACAACATCTTCAATAGCTACTTCAATAGGTGAGAGAATAATCTGAAAGAGATATGGGGGGGATAATCCTTTAGAATAAAAAATACAAAAAATTGCTATTAGATAAATCTATAAAATGCTTGTCTATGTTATACTATTTAAACCAAAATGTTTAAAGGTTTTAGAAAAATACTATTTTATCAAGAAAATAGAAATTGTTAAACATAAGTATGGACAACTCAAGCTATACCAACAAAATTAAATAATTTTTCCTAATTTATATATATATATATATATATATATATATATATATATATATATATATATATATATATATATACACACTATTTAAGCCATCCACATGCAAAGTATTACTGTTTATTAAAAACTTCATACAGAGGCAGAATTTTAAAACACTCTTAGTTTATTATGCAAAATGTGGCAATGTGATCCTAGAATTCAGTGAGTAAGATTTGTAATGATGAAAGATGATATACTAAATGAAAATGGAAACCTATCTAAGTAATGCTTTAATATCTAAGCAAAGATATAATTTGAGTAAGAGAATAACAAACCTGTTCTCTATGAATGACTGCAAGTCTTGTTTTGACATAAGGGAATGCATGACTAGTTGTTAGAATTGTTTTCCTTTTGTATTGTTCACTCAGCTCGCCATGTGCTCTACCATTTTGGGTGAATGGTGTAGCATACATAAATCGTTCTGAAAGATGAGAAAATATAAATATCAACAAGTGATGCCATGCATTTGAAAATAACAGAATCATTAAAAGAATTCATATCAACTTACTAATGTTATAATTTTTCTCAAAGTAGGTCATTCTATCCTTCATTTCATAAGCATCAAAGTAAGGTTCCACATATGTAATTTGTATATATGCCTGAAAAATAAAAATCATTTCATTAATACAAAATAATTGTTTTATTACACATTCAAAAGAGGGGATGTGGATTTATAAGAATAGTTAAGGCTTGCTTCAAAATGTAACATTTAAAGTGAAAATTCTTAAAAGGTTGATTTAGTTCTTTCTAAATGGGTTGCAGGAAAGGTGAAATTTAAATAAAATCTCAAAATCATTTGAGATCTGCTTTCCTTTTTTGGTATGTCATATTTCCTGCACATATTAAAAAAAAATATTAATACATTTTTTAAAAACATTCTCACAATGAAAAGATATCATTATATCAACATTAATGAATCTTTTACTTAATTGATGCTTATCCGATAATAGTTTGAATTTTTTTTCTTTTTTCGTTGGATCAGTTTTTGTAGAGTAAAGGTAATCATAAAGATCTAAACCTGAAGAATTTATGCAACAAACTACTAAGTAAGACATTAACAAAAAAAGAAAGAGAAAGAAAGAAAGAGAAAGATAGAAAGAAAGAGAAAGATAGAAAGAAAGAGAAAGATAGAAAAAAAGAGAAAGATAGAAAGAAAGAGAAAGATAGAAAGAAAGAGAAAGATAGAAAGAAAGAAAGATAGAAAGAAAGAGAAAGATAGAAAGAAAGAGAAAGATAGAAAGAAAGAGAAAGATAGAAAGAAAGAGAAAGATAGAAAGAAAGAGAAAGATAGAAAGAAAGAGAAAGATAGAAAGAAAGAGAAAGATAGAAAGAAAGAGAAAGATAGAAAGAAAGAAAAAATAGAAAGAAAGAAAAGATAGAAAGAAAGAGAAAGATAGAAAGAAAGAAAAATAGAAAGAAAGAAAAGATAGAAAAAAGAAAAAATAGAAAGAAAGAGAAAGATAGAAAGAAAGAAAAAACAAAGAAAAGGAAGAAAAAACAAAGAAAAGGAAGAAAAAAGAAAGAAAAAAAGAAAAAAGAAAGAAAAAAAGAAAAAATTTTCCAAGTGAATTTTTGAATTAACCTTTTCAGGATCTTGTTTGTGCCTTTCCACAGTATTGGAGTCCTTCACAATTTCTACCATTTCATACCCGAAACGTTCACCATAGAAACTCTGAGAAAAAAAAAAAAAAAAAAAAAAAAAAAAAAAAAAAGTAGTAAAATTGAAAGAAATTTATTGCCATGTTCTTTGAAAATAAATCCCCAAGTATTTCCAAAAATACTCAGAAATGCAAAAAATTGTACCAGGAAGAAAAAAATCCAATATTTGATATAACATTGGCAAGCAAGTAAAATCTCTCGTTTCTATTAGTTTTAGTGGGACACAAAACTAAAAAGAAATCACAAGATCATAATATGAAGTTAAACATAGAAAAGAAATTATTTCTTTTTGAAAAGAACATGGTTGTCAGATGACTGATGGAAAACAGAATTTTTTTACAAAACAACTAAAAAAAAAAAAAAAAAAAAAAAAAAAAACGGACTGTAATAACAAAACCAACTATAACTAAAAGTGAATAGGTACAAAAAGTTAAATATAAAATTACTTTAAAAAAGAAAATAAATTCAGTTCTTTGATCTAAAAAGGATTTTATTTTATTCTTTTATTCTTTATGAAGAATAAAAATCACCATTATTTTCCATTTCGAAAAGAAAGAACAGTTATTGAATTTAAAAAATATTTTTAAAAATATATCTACCAAAAACAAACTTATTGAAGTATTCTACATTTGAATGCATAAGATCTTCCTTACTTCAAGTCGGTGAGAAATTTCAGGTAATTTTGTGATGGCTGGTTCTTTATAGACAAACTCCTCTCCATCCAAATCTCCAAACTTCTGACCATAGAAGCCGACACGGAAATAAGTACCGAAAACTCGCTTGCCTTCCTGCAAGTCAGATACAACAAAAAATAAATTTTAAAATCAATTTTTACAAAGTTTGTGAAAAATAAATACAAAATGTGAAATACATTTTAAAATAATTAATCTTAATTGAAAGCAAACATGATAGAAGCAAAAATAAAATTTATTGTTACAAAGGACATTTGATGAAATAAAATTTAAATTTTTTCCCATTTAAAAAAAAATTATTAACTGCTTACCATCTTGGTAATATTTGCAAAGGCTTCATGTAATTTGCTGTGTATAATGGCCAATCTTTTATAGTCTCTATTTGATTCGTGAATTGGAATCAGAATTTTGTAAACTTCATTTACAGCTTCATACATACTGCCCTGTAAGCAGAAAAAAACATACAAGAAATAAATATAAGCAATTTCCTACATAAATAGAATTAATTTACAATTATACTCTCACTTGTGAAACAGCTATCTTTCAATAGCATACAAAGCTTAGAAATATTTGTTATATACTAATTGTTTTCTGTAGGGTTTGGTTTAAACTTTAGATTTCCCTAATATTTACAATCAAATTTATACCATGTCAAGCACAATAGGATCAAACATGAATAAAAAACAGGAAATTGACAAAAAAATAATGCCGTAAATATTATAATTTTAAAATGACAGCAGATACAACTGAAACACTTGTACATGCATGAAAATTATAGAAAAAGCAGATAACGACAGCAGCAATTATCATCTATGAACAGTACACCTACCATGGTAAAAGAACTACACGCCTGCTCCAGTAATCCAATGAGGCCACTTTCCGAGAAATATTTGCCAGTACAGATTCCTTCTTCTTCAGGAGATACAACATCGTCTGACACAGCACTTTCCTCAAGAACATTTGAGGATATTTTCTGAAAAATCGTACATGACACTTTATAAAATTGTTCATAGAACTGAACAGACAATACCACAAATATATATATATATATATATATATATATATATATTGCGTTGTATGGATATGAGTTTGTAACCCTGGGTTTCATGCTTTTGTGATCATCAGACAAACTGATTTTTTTTTTTTTTTAAATTGAATCTATTTATGCTAGTTTGTGTTTCATTATGTTTGATGGTGATGGTGGTGAAATTCTCTGTCTGTTTTGGGATGACACTCATATACATACATACATACATACATACAGGTGTGCGAATTATAGTTCACCCAAAGACATACACATAAAGAATGTGAGACCAGGCATAGACATATATCCATGTATTCGAGCATATATACATACACAATTGTAATCATTTAGGTGTTGAGACTTTATGTAGCGAAGTTCTTTCAACAATGGGTAAGGAGGGGTGTTCTTGGCATTTTTTAGGTCGGCCATGTGTTGTCTAATGCAAAAATAAATCAGTTTGATGATCACAAAACCATGAAACCCAGGATTACAAACTCATATCCATACAACAGAATATGTTAGCTCTATCACTGATATTAAGCACTGCAAATAAATTATATATATATATATATATATATATATAATCTGCTATTTTCATAAACAGCAAAATTGCACTTTTACAAACCATGAATTTTGACTGAAGGGAGTTAATAAAAATCTAAAGTAATGAACATCAGTATCAATGATCAAAAGTATTTTATAGCAAACCAACAAAAGAAATAATGTGTTTTACAAGAAGCCAAACTTATTGATTCTTCTTGAAGTTTGAAATTTGTACAATTTTAATGTGAAGTTATATCTTGCAGTGGCAAAGAATGTCAAGTTAAATAATTTAATTCTACCTGAAAGTCAACACAGCCAACTGGCAAGTGGGGTCTGTCCTCCAACATGTTGAGATATTCAGCAACCAGACCTGCTGCATGGATGAGACAATGGGCTGCCTCAGCATGGTTGTTATTCTGTAAAAAAAATTTAAAAAAAAAAAAAAAAAAAAAAAATTAAAATGCAATTCGATTTTTTTTAAATTACTGTGATAGAAAATTTTTTTTAACCTTAAAAAAGATATGAATTAATTTCAATGTTCATTCATTTATATATATATTATGTTAATATACAAAAGCTTGTAGTCAGATAAAGATATTACATAAACATTTATCTAAAGAAACAGCATTTATGAGAATATTTTCTAGTCTTAAGTTGTAAGAAATTATTTTTTTAAATAATTCTTTTCAAGACCAAAAGAGAATTTAACAATAGGTTTGTCATGTATCCATCTCTGTCATATTCCACAGAAGCCACAGTTCCCTGACTTAAGCAATGATAGTCAACAGATGCTTCCTGTGATTTTAATTGGATTCTTCCTATCCTGATGCTACCGGTAGTGAAATATGTTTGTGATGACTTGATAATGAATTAGGCATTGACCTTAGATCTGAATAGTTTAACCACATTAATTGACGTAACTTGCCTCACTATGCTTGCCAGCCATATTCTGCAGCCAAGTCAGCCGGAGGTCAGGCGAGGTCTGGTAACCTTTAGCAATACGATACATTAAATCAATCAGCATTTCAGGATCTTCATGGAACTCCTTCATTTTTACAGTATCTGACAATATCATGTGCAAGTTGAACACCAAATCACGAACCTGAAATAAAGCAAAAGAAGTCATGTAGAAATTTCAATAAGGCATGAAACCTATTTACATTGTCAAAACAATGCAATGGCTAATGTCATGCTCAAGGACTGTATTTGATCCCCACAAATGAATCTGCTCAATACCTACATTATTCAGCATTTATTTTCATATCTAATCAAAATATAAAATAGTTAGGGCTAAGACAGCAAATCAAGTTAAAAATATATTTCCTAAAGATAGTAAATACAAAATATATTTATCATTCAGAAGAAAATAAAATTCAGAATCTTTAATTTAAAAAGAAGAAAAGAGAGAGAAACAATTGGTTAACTTAAGAGTTTAATTTATTTGAGTTATCTAATTATCTGAGAATGCAACTTTTATTTATGATTCTGAAAAGTTTTAAAACAAATTTTCAAGTTCTACAATCGCTACATTATTATGATTATGAGAGTGAAGTGTAGTTTAGTATTTTTAACGTTTCAGTAGATAAAAAAAGTAAAAAATAATATTGTTGAAAAGAAATAAAACAAAAAGGACAATCAATTTATTCATCTAAAGGAAACCTCTGATCTTTATATTATCAAATATAGACAAATTTTGTTAAATAAGATTAGACATCATGAAATTTTGTGGGAGTAAATGGATAAAGAAAAAACATGAAACATTGGCATAACCTAATCAATATTTATAACAAATAAAATGCAAGGCAGCTAACAACTGCCTTAAATATACAAATTTTTAGCACAGATATCTTTAACCCTCATATGTAAAAGGATTCATTTTTATATTATAAATACTGTTAAAACCCATGTAATTTACACAGGTGATTATTCGCACCCCAAAATTTTCAGAATTGTCGATATGGCCAGGAGGAAGAGGTTTTCTATTTAGTTGTATTTAGCATAATTTCACTTACTTATGATTAGATTTTATTAATTTTTCATTAAAAAAATAATTTCTGTTTAACAGGTAAGTACTACATTAAAAGATATTAAATTATAAAGTGTTTATGCTGTTTATAATAAACTTTATCTTATACTAGGTATGTCAATGGTACTCCATTGTGATAGAAACTCCAAGCAATGTAAAATATGGCCCAGATTGTGATTACCACCAGTATGAATGTCAGACTTTAAAAAGTAGTTAACCATTTAGTGGTTATAGTAAATTTATATAGAAAATGTGAGCATTATACCGTCCAGCATAAATAAAAGTCAATTTCATTACATTTAAGGCCTTATTTTTTCTATATAAACATATTTTGACATTAAACATTAAATGGATCAATTTTTGGTATGAGTGTTTACATTTTGTACATCTTTTAATGAGAAAAAAAAACTCGATACAATCTACTCATGTAATTTACATACTCCCTAAAAATTTTTATTTTTGAAAAAAAAAAAAAAAAATGTAAATTACATGTTTCATTTTTTTATGGTAAATCAAAATCCAAAACATGAAAAATAATGTTTCAATACAAATAGGCAGTCAAATTCAAATATAAATTTTAATTTACCTGAGCAGGAAATGTAGTATTTACAAGTTCTATATCTTCTTCTGCATATGTCAGAATGGTTTTAAGGGATTTTCGAAGATATTCTTCATTGAATTTTTGGTTTTGACCAACAAGTGAACTTAGTGACATGGTCACCTGCATTTTCACACGAGCGAAATTCTGTTGGTGAGAGAAAGAAAAAAGAAATCAATATAAAACTAAAAGTTTGAATTTTGAAGATAAATATCTAAGTACATCTTCTGTAGATCATTGAGTGATCTATTGTTATGGTATAAGATGAGTTGGTCGCCCAACAAAAACTTACATTGACCAGCTATATAGAGACACGGGATGCTACCATATTAACTTTCCAACCTTGATACAGGATCTTGAAGGATGGCATAATAAACTTATGAATGTCTAAGCAAGCTTTTTTGAATAAAAATAATATCTGCAGAATTAGCAATTAGTGAATTTTTAACACAGAAAATTTTTGGTTAATTTGAAAAGCATTCATTGTTTAAAGTAATGACTAAATAGTTTTCTTAAAAGAATCTTAAATTTCTTTCATATTTTATTTTACAACATATAACAAAAAAAATTAGAAATGAAATATATCATTACCCACATCTGAAAATAAACTTTCTGTATTTAAATATTTTTTTCATAAAATTTGTATCTTTTTGCATTTTACTGCTTTTCATATTTTGATATAGTGACACTGAATATACACATTTCATTTTTAAATTTGATTTTAAAGCTATGAAAAAAAAAATAAAAATTGGCTTATGCCAAATAAACACTAGTTAATATTTTGAGTAAAGGAAATGCAAGCTTACATTGCCCATCTCAAAATTCTGCTTCATGAGTAGATAGAGAGATGCAGCAGCATGGGAGCGTGTGTTACTGATGCAGGAGCTGCAATGACGCAATAGTCGCAGGCACAAGTCAGCACACTGTTCAGTCTCTTCTTGGAATAACAGCTCTGGAAACTAAAATACAAACAAGCAAAAATATTAAGTTATAAAAAAGTAAATATGAAAAAGAAAAGAGATTTAATGAAAAAAATGACTACTTTATTTAACAAAAAACTCTTATATTGTGCCACTGGAACCTCAAAGAAAAAAAAGAAAAAGGAAGAGGAAAAAGACTACTAAATGGATGATAATTGTTGAAATTCTCAGGAAAGTGGATTGAAAAATTAAGAAAGTTAAAAATTAAATGCATTAAAAATTATGTTTTAAAATAATAAAATGAAATCAAAAACAATCCCAAGAAAAATCAAACTGAAAATTAACAAGACAGAATTCAATAAGATTGAGCAAAACCAAGACTGTCAGTCTTTCCCCACTTCCGGCTGATAACAAAGAGACAATTAAACTATTATTGAAGATGTCAGTCCAGGAAATAAAAAAAACATATGTTGTCAGTAAAGAAAACTGGTGGTCACTGAAATAACATCTAAATTGTTATGAACAAAGAGTGAGGAAAATATTTGGTTTGTGTTGGCTACCCAGAAAAAAATATACCTACAAAAATGAAAATTGGGGAAGATTGGGGACAGGTTCATTTATTCTAAATTCTGTGACATTTGTTAAAATTTTTATAGCGGACATTATTTTGGATTTTTTGGAGACAAGCTGATAAAGAAAGATTAATTACTAGGTTACTAGGGAACAGGCTGTGAGGTCTTGTTGACCAAGAAACATATAAAGAGAAAGATCATTTTTTTATCATTCTTAAAGATGTTGGGAATATTTTTCTTTCCCACTCATGACAACTGTGGATGAATAAAACATTTTTTGAGACTGGCTGGCAGGGGGCCATCTGGATTGGCTCCAATTATTTTAGATATAGTCGAGTCCCTGGTTTTGAGAAATCATCTAAAACAGCCAGCATGAGACAAGATGATAAAGAGAGATTAATTACTAGAAATCCCCTTTTCACCTACATATTCTAGAAGTTTAGAGTCATCAAAAAGACAGTTGTACCAGCCTTTACAAATGGGCTGAGGTTGGAAGGTGAGAGAAGGGAGAGAGAGAGATTAGTACCATCTATATTGAGTGATGGTATGAGATAAAAAGTGAAGGGAGTTAGAGTTAAGAGGTAGCTTGATTCCTCTGATCACTCTCAAAAAGGGGCTCGACAACCCCTAAATTTGGAATACTTGAGTAAAGATATTTTGAAAATATGGGATTTTAGAAAAACGTTGAGGCTAAGTGTGGGTGATAACCAAACCCTGGTCAACCCCACATCTGCCAGATGCAAGACTCCATATAAGCTACTGTAATTCACATCATTCACTGAGACCTCCTGACCAAGACCTTGTGCCAGATCTGTAAACCATAACTTAGAAATTTAAATTACTACTAACACAGGTTGTAAACTCCAAAAGGGGATCCAAGTGTCATTTGACTATAACAATAGTGGGAAGGGTTAAAACCATTGTATACAACAAATCATATATAAACCAAATCATTGTTACATTTTTAACCAGATTTCATTCTTTATTCCAAAGAATTCTTTTTGTGTAGCCTCCAGCTGTCGACCTGTTCTTCACTTCAGTTTACTTCAACTATCTTCTCAACCTCTAAGATAAAAACAACATCGCAGAGGAGTGAATGGTCATGAAGCAGACAAACCCCAGCCAGATCAAGTAGAACCATGTCCATCATCATGATACTTGCGACACATTAACAAGTGAGGAGTCAGCTAGATGGTAACCACGGTGGTCTGAAGGAACCTGAAGACCAACATGGCAGAGAGAGTGGCTTACAATATAATAAATATTATAGGTAAAATGTTTTCCATTGAGCTGAGACATTTTCAGAAAGCTGTATATATATATATATATATATATATATATTTGAAATTCAGTTAGTAAAAAGATTTATTATGTAAGTAAGGATTTTTTTTCTTTGCCTGTAAAATAACATTTTTCAAATTTACTACACTTATAAACCAGAAAAACTGTTCTTAAAGAAAAACTACCTTGCTGACCAAAGAACGTTGGGTTGCCAGCATATGTTGTAATACAGAAGTACTTTGGTTCAAACCAAGGCTGTGAAGTAGAACACGTAGAGCATAGCCAAGTGTTGGCATGTCCATACAATACTGTGCAATCTGGAAAAAAAAAAGAAATGAAGTTAAGCTGATATCCCGATTTTAGAAGCTATAAAAAAATTTCTAAAAAAATTTTGTTTAACATTAAAGGAGACAGCTACAGCATTGTGATATATCTTTTGCAATTCTTTTAATTTGTTAAAATACAATTTTTATACAATAACGTCTTTCAACATCTGTCTGAGGTATTGTAACTATTTACATTGTTTGGACTGTTGTCCTCATCTTTATTGTCATATAATATATATCCCCAAGCCCAGTGGATAAAAGTGTTGGTTGAAGAAATTTAGTGACTTGACCCAAAGAGTTCTGAGTTCAGAACCTGGCCACAACAGAGGTGAACAAAAATTTGAAGAGTTGAGTTACTAAAGGGAATTAACTGAAACAGAGATCCTGAAGAGGTATGGAAAGTGGAACTAGAACAATATACCCCATGGACTAAATAAAAGGCTCAGTTTGAAATTCCAACGTATATCACCTGAAAAAGGCCAGAGCATACAATGGACGAAACGCTGTGAATATGACAATCAAGATGAAGACAGCAATGTAAATAATAATGTAAATAATAATAATGAACAATGTAAATAATAATGTCTTTCAGTTCCATTTTGGAATTTAGTAAGAGATTAATTAATTAGTATACTAAAGCTTGAAAATGTTACCCATAACATGTACACATTTTTTTTTTTAATAGTGCAGGTAGACGTGTGTTCACTTGGCAAGATACATTAGTTTTTTTCTTGGTACTGTAGCACAAATAATCACAAAAATAGCTGGGACAATTATCAAAAGGAATAACTTCACTATTTATAAAACACCTGTATGATTTAGGAACATCAAAAATTTAAAATTTCCTATTAACAATAAAATGATATAAAACAAGATCAAAAGACACCAAATAAAATTTAGGACAGTTTTGTTCTTTTCAACATTATGTACTACATTTAAAAATAAATAAAATCAATGACTGACCTGTACAATAAGCTCTAAAGTATCCAAAGCTACCATACTAACTTCAGCTGCCAAATTGCCCTCCACGTGGGCATCCACTTCAACATCACGGCTCATCTTTTGGCTAATATAAAGAAAACAATCAGAACTAAAATCTAAAAGTAAAATCTTAAGAGAAAATGTTTTTGATTTTTGTTCTACACAAACTATTTGGAAAGATAAAAACTTAAAATAGAAAAATTAGGACAGGATATAAAGTGTTTTTAATCAATTTCAAATGTAGTTCAGGTTCTAAAGGCATTGTTTATGGCCAAATGTTTTATTGAATGAAAAATACTTAAAAAAAAAAATTATTCAGCTGATATTTACATAAAAAAAAAAAAGACGAAAGGCATTTTCTCTGCTTATTATATCCATTCTTGCAACTGATGAAAATTATGAATATCTTTTCCACTTCAGTGTGATTATTCTGTTGAAATATTTCAGTAATTTTTAAAATTCAATTTCCCCCATGAATAATTGCAAATTGAGTATTTTTAAGGAACTACATAGTAAAAATAAAACTAATATTAACCTTTCATAGTGTTCGTATGGCTGCTTCCACTGGAACTGATCCTTACGCCAACGGAGTCGACTACCTTCAGAACCACCAGTTGGTGGTGTTCTTTCCCCTGAAAATGTGAGTAACAAAGTTCAGCTAAATTTTTCAATTCATTCTCTATATAAAAAGCAATGACAGTTGAATGCTTTTCTTACTATAGTAAGTTTCCTAAAACTCTAGTGAAAAAACAATTCTAAAATGTTTATTTAATTTTTGTTTCTAGTTGAAATGAGAAAAAGTAGAACCTGAAAATCAAATATAAAAATGGTTGATTTTAACTGTTACTTCACTGATGAATGGAATTTGTGAAAAAGTAAAAGTAAATCAAGTATGCTATTTATTTCCAGATAATTGCAATTTCAGAAAATACTAATCGTTATTCACATTGAGATAATAAAAGAAGTCTTCTAATTTTGCATGTCATGAAAAACAGTCAATAATAAATTCATTTTTCAAGATAAAATACAACAAACTTAGTTCCAATATTAATAAAATAAGAAAATACATGATTACCTATCACCATTGCAAAAGCATTTGAAAAGCCAGTCACAATATTTTCAGTGTCCAGGTTACTGTATTTAGCTTTAATCTTACCTGTGCTGTGGTTTTTTTTTAGTTTTTACAGTGAGGTTCACCATTTACAAGACCTGAGGGCCACTCAAGGTAGAGGGTTATGTTAAAAGGCTAGGAGTGGAAGACAACAGTTTACCCAAGCTTTGAATAGGTTAAGATTGTAGTCATTGGGGAAACATCCTGTTGGGAGTCAGTTCCACAGGGCAGTGGTTCATGGGAAGAAGCTGTTCGAGTGGAACTTAATTCTCACCAATGGGATATGTAGGGAGTGTGGGTGATTCTCTACTATGTATGTAGCATTGCGTGTTCTTGCTGTGAAGGTTTGCCTTGGCAGGACCAGGGAATATAGTTCATCCAAGCACTTTCCATGGAAGTAGTGGTAAAGCAGTGAGAGGCTTGCCAAATCCCACCTGTGGAAGAGAAATTCAAGGGTGTAGAATAGTTTGTCACCCACAAGTGCTCAAAGATGCTTTTGAACTCGATCAAGGCTGAAGAATGAGTGAGGTCTGGGCAGCTCCCACCCAAATATGACAACACTACTCCATTTCTGATCTGATCTGGTTCTTGTTAAGATAGAGGATAGCAGGAGGGCTCAAGTGCTTAATGGAGCAGTACAGGGAGCCAACCATTTTACCTGCATCCTTAGCAATGAATCATATGTAGGAGTTCTACTTGAGGTCGGATGTAAGTTTGAGGCCAAACAGTCTTTCAAGGCATGATGCTTCCCCGAGAAGATCTCCGTTCATCAAGATTGATGGTAGTTTGGCGTCAGATTAGTGATGATGGAATATAATTGGCTTGGTCTTCGAGGCATTGAATGTAACCAGCCAGTTTTTCTTCATTGGGTAATTTGTGTAAGATTGGAAGAGAGTTCAGTCACCAATCTATGACCATTAAGAGTTTTAGAGGTGTGCCTATATATAGTCATATTGGCATATAGGTTTACAAATGACATATTTTTAGGTAGATCATTTATATAGATCAAAAAGAGGGTTGGTCCAAAGATGACTCCTGAGAGATGCCTGCACTGACTTCTTGGGTTCCAGAGGACTGACCATTGATAACTACCTTCATGGACATACCTGTTAGGAAGGATTTTATGATCGAGATGAGCCTTCCAGTGATTCCATAACTGGAGAGGAGAGCTTGCGTAATAAGCCTATGTGCCACACCTTGTTGAAAGTCTTTGATATATCTAGTGCTATGGACTTTGAGGTGTGTTTGTCGTGAAGAGCTTCACTGATTCTGCGAGTGATAGTAGTTAGGTCATCGGCATTGGATCAGGCTAACTGAAACCAATACTACTCATCACTGAAGAGGTTGTTCTTTTCTAGGTGCTTGATGACTTTCTTATTGATTATGGTCTCAAAGAGATTGCTGATGATACTGAACTTGCAAAATCGTGTCTGTGGGGAAATATGTTGCAGAGTGGAAAATAAGTCAATCAGTATCTGGATCTGTAATAGAAGGTGGAAAATTGCACATCTATGTTCTTTAAAACCGGGCATACATTTGACACTTTCCCCAGACTTGGGAAGAATTTCTCCTTCAAGCAGCGGTTGAATAATTTTGCTAGGATTAAGGATAGTTCCAGGTTCATATTCTTAAGGATAATCACTGCAATTATGTCTGGACCAGTGGCTTTCTTAGAGTCAGTCTTTGATAAGACTAGAGACCTAGTGTGCTGTGACAGTAATATTACTAAGATTATGCTCAGTGAGATGTAGGAACTCGAAGAGGGGAAGGTGTTTGTGATCTAATGTTGAGTGAGAGGTAAAGATGGAGGTGAAAAGGTTTGCCTTATCAGTCGAGTAAGATATCACCATCGGGCCATTTATAATTGTGGGCACAGCCATTTTACATCTGTTCATGATTTGATTGGTGATCTTCGTTTCTTTTCAACCTTGGTCTGGACCACTTGTGCATAACTGCACTTGGCATTTTCTAGGAATTTTTTGCAGCTATTGCAAGCAGTTCTGAATGGAGTGAGGACCAAACTACTTTGCTCCTTGCGATAGATATTGAAGTAGTGGTTCCAGTGAGTTATGGCTGTAGCACATTCAGGGGTGAACCAGGGTTGACTGGTTTTTGCTGGAATTCTCTTGGGGTATAAAACTCTCCATTCCAGGAAGGATCCAATCTGTGACAAGGGCAGCAGTTTTTGAGGCAGCATGTTTGAAGAAGGTTGGGAGGGGAACTTCCATCATGTAGAATTGAAAGCTGTCCCAGTCTGCCATTGCATGGTGGAAAATCGTTTCTATGGAACAGTACATCAGAGGATGCCTTAGGTTTGGTATCAATCTGAATACTGATTAGTGAATGGTCTCATGTGCCCAGTGGAGGTTAAAACTTTTGATAGGCATTTATCAGGGCAGGAATAGGATGAAGAGGTTTGCCTGATGACCCATTGTGTCTGGGACCTGGGAAAAATGTTTTCTATAATGTGTAACAGACTCAAAATATGTATGTAATAAAGACAATGTCACACAAAAAGTGTTACGAAGAGAATAGAATAGAAATTTTGAACAAAAGGTTAGGAAGGAAATCCCCATCAATAGTGGAAAGAGCGATGAGTGGACTTATTTTCCTGAAAAATATTTTGTAAAATAAAGATTTTATAATTTTCAACCAACTGACTGCTCATTCAATAAATGCCGAATGTTTCCTTATAAGGAAACAAACCAATATTACCATTAATAAAAAACATTATCAATGACAAAATAAACATGGCATTCATTTACCTGACACCAGCGAAAATTTCACATAGCTTCATAAAAAGAATAAGAAGCAACTATTTATCTCTACCATGCCCTCATATTTGTGGCCTTGTTCCAAACTAAGCCAAGTAAAATAACAACTACTTACCTGTACTGAATTCCTGCTGTCGTCTCCGCATCATCATTTCAGTCCTGGCATTTGAGTTACCCAGGATAGCTTCTTCAAGACGTGTTTTCATATCTACGCTCCGGCGAAATGTTTGTTGAGAATATTGATTCACTGCTTTCTTACCCTGGTAGGGTGGAGATTTAACATGTTACAAGGTTTCAGGGTAGTCATTGTACGAGTCATGCAAGACATCCCCTAAACTGAGATATACTGTTGGACATCAAATTAATAAAATTTAAAAAATGAGTAATTAAAAAAGTAATAAATAAAACAAAATAAAAAATAAATGAATAAATAAAACTTAATGAAAACTTAAATTGGTTGAATTCTTTTGCTATATCTGTAATACACAGAAAATGATTGGATTTTGATAGTGAATTTTTAAGCTGAGGAACAAAATCCTCACTTGCTTAATTTAGGTTGTTTTACTCATAAAAATAAATCTTTTCTGGAGCATTAGTTTTCAAGTATACATTTAAGCCTAAAACTTATTAAGTAATTTTAAAAATTTAATTTTTCCTAAGGTGTTTGAATTAAAATATTAGTCATGAATTTCTGCCAATATATATTTAATCACATTGTTTTTAATGAAGAGAAAATTTCCTTTACAAAACATAAATGAGGTTAATTTAGGCTGTTACATAATCTGGCAACAGAAGACAAGAATAAAAGAAATAACTGGTATAAAATCAAAGGAAATTAACTGGAATACATTACTCACTGCAGGAGGACAATTGATCACCCTAATTATACACTATAGGCAGTCATTCTAGGCCTAGTTCCTCAAACAATATCCCCCACCCCAATATCAGATCAAAACCAGCACTAATTCAATGGGGGTAGGTGATATCATCTCTGAGCAGCTTTTGTAACCTACCTTTCACTCAGTAGGTTTTTTTTTATGTGAGCAAGCTTAACTCAGTTGCTGGGTACTCCATTTAGGCATAATGATTCTGATTCAAGAGGGTTTTCTGCTTCGGTTTCTAGGTTGACAACTCGTATTATTATCTCCCTTAAGCTCTGCAGACCATGCATTGGTCTGTGTTAAAATCAATGCCAGACAAACAGAATCATGGAAGAATCTATGCAATCCTTTCTTTCAGGTAGATCCATGAAAGTTGTGAATAACCAGTCTTCTGAAGTAAATGAGATAAATGCAGGTATTCCCAAAGGTTCTCTCCTCAGTTTTACTATCTTTCCACTTTCTAGGAATGTTCTCAGATCATTAGTAACCATTTATACTGATGATATCAGTTTATGGAAGCACTTCCAAAAATCAAGATAATTGGGGTCTTATAGTTGAGCTCTATTCAAACTTCACTCTAACAGCTAAATAGGGTGATAACTTATTTGTAACTTTCAGTCCCTCAAAAACCAAGCAAGTATCATTTCATCATCACTGATCAGAACCTGAGTTTTCTCCAGTTATGATGAACGATTGTACTCTCAATTAAGTTCCATGCTTGGAACATCTGTTGGGTCATAAGTTCACTCCAGGCCACAGGGAAACACATACACACAATACATTGCTAAAGAATAAATGTTTGCTCATTGTACCACTTCAGAAGATATCTGACTCCTCCTGATTTTAGACTTGACAAGATCAGATTAAAAAATATATATTGAGTATTGCTGCCATATCTGAACTGGACTTGTTCAATCCTCACTTTCTACCTTTGATAGAATTCAAAACCATTCATAAGATCTTGTGCTGATTGATTTATTTTCCACTCTGCAACATATTTCTCCACAGACACAATGTTGCAAGTCTATCATTACTCTATTGCCATTTCCATGGCAAATGTTCAGATAAGCTCTATTTACCAATTCAGACCTTTACAGCTCAGAGATGCCATGCTATTACCATGAATTTAAATCACCCACATTTCCTCCATATTCTCCAACTAAGGATAAGTTTCACTTAGACAGCTTTTCTCCCAAGACCTGCTACTTTGTGGAACATATTTCATTATGGATGTTTCCTTGAATGCTACAATCCTTAAGTCAAGAGTCATTTGTAATCTATCTTCACTTCCTACATTCATATTATACACCTTATTCAGTAACCGTTTACCTTAAGTAGTTTGTGAGCCTTGTTTTAGTTGAACTTTAGCATTAAAAACAAAATTTTTTTTAACTTTTGCAAGTAAATGTACCGACATTCAAGACCCAACTGAAAAAAAATTCCATCATCTCCCACTAGTGTTCACTTGTTCTTTGATTGTCAGAGTTTTTTTGGGTTTTTTTTCTAGCAGGTAGAAGTTCAACACATTTAACATTGATCATATCATATTTCAGTTGTCATTATAACATGTTGCATCATAGAGCCTAGATATATTTTTATTATTATTAATGTTAGGTAATTTATTGATTTATATTGAAGACTTTTTATGACAAAGCAATAATCTCTGCTAACAGATAATTTTGAAGAAAAAAAAAATATGCTATTGTTCATTTTTTTTTAATATGTAATATTCTAAAAAGATTACTATATCTCAAAGGAAAGAAATCAATATCTTTCAGTTGTTTGCAAAACTGAAGATCAAGTTTTGCTTTACTTTCAGTTGTAGGGTCAAAATCACCTTCATTGATAATTGTTGATCTGCTAACCACAAAAAGAAAACAACCTTTAACAATGGAAAATGAATGCAAAATGAAACAATGTGCTTCCATGCATAGGAATCATCAATATCAGAAAACCATGAGCTTTCATGCACATGCGGTATAGCAAACCAACAATGGCATCAGTAGTAAGAGTGGCCATATTTTTTTCAAAATACAGGTTGACTATAGAAAACCCAGTATAAAAAGTGATGTGCATAGGTAGCTAATTTTAAATTCAATCTTAAAAATAAACAAATAAATAAATAAAAAGCATTCTTTAAAATAAGAAATCAAAGAAAAGTTGATATAAAAAATCCAAAAACCAGAAAAAAAAATCTAAACATTATGTAAAAAATGATGGGAGAAGCAAATTACAAAGATTATCCTTTATTAAAAGACAGTGAGTGTGGTTAGTAGATGGAAATCAAGCGGAGACATGAAACTAACTGAATTACAAGGCCAGAAAGACAAGAAGCCTGAAATGAAGAGAGAATACCCATGTATTGAAAAAAAAAAAAAAAATAGGAGGAATAAAAGCAGGATTTGGGAAAATTATACAAGGATGTTATTTGTTACATCAAATGCCACAAAATCTTTACAGATACAAAATATAACTGACATCAGACTGAGATTCTTTTCAGCTAATTCAAAATAAGTTGAAACATTAGGAGTTAAAATATTGAGATGATAGGCCAATTTCAAAGTATACCATTCAGTAATAGCAAATTTAAAATACATAAAACAATGAATATATCACCTGGAAAAAGTGTAATCATATAGATCTAAAAGATTTAAAAATTAAGGTTGAAAGGTAAAAAAACACCAGATTTTATTATGCAAGTCAATATTTTCATAATAAAATTTGAATATTAAAGTTTTCAGAATATATTAATTTAGATGCAACTTACAGCTTATATATATCCTTAATAAAAGTGTTGATGAGGGTTTCTTATTGTAGGGAGGGGGGAAACAGGTTTTATTATGCAAAGTGCAATGAATGTTTATTTATTAATAAGCCATAGAAACAAGGATATATTTTTATGGCTTATCTCTTGGTACCAGCTTAATTTTTTTTCTCCATATATTTTACTTAAAACATGTATTCTTTCATTTTTTTTTTATTACAGTAAAATTTTCACTTTCAAAAATTATAATTTAGGTATACAAAAAAAAGGATCAGTTAAACTGACACCAAAAGGATATGAGTTAACATAATATCACATATACCTGAATAATCTTATTTTTACATATTAATTAATTAATAATAATATAATACATATTAATTACATATAATATTAACACTTTATAACCTTCATGAGTCTTTTGTTTAAATCTTGACAGTAAAAAAGATAACATTACTTGCAGCAGTTTTTATTCAGAAATATTCTTTACTTAAATATTGCTTTCCATTTTCATATGCATCACTTTTAATGATGGCTACAAATTAATATTTGGAGAGGCTGGTGGTATTTCCATTAATTCTGTCTTTGGAAAATTTAAAACAAGATGGGCAATAGTAAGCTTTGTAGAATTTGAAGCAGCATTGTCTTGTATTAATATATTCTTTAACTTAAAGAACCTCTGTAAGCAAGAAGTCTTCTTGTAAGAAGTATAAAATGAAAGAATTAACACAGACACATATTAGTATACACAATTTCATATATTTTCCATTATTCTTTCAATATATGCTATCATTCCATTAGTAATTGCAGAAAATACATAAAATGAATACACTTGATACAGAATTGTTCTTTATAGTAAAATAAAAAAAAAGAGAGAGAGGAAATCAATCAATTTTAGTTATTTTTCAATAAAATTATTTCTTAGGAAAAATGTTTAGAATTGAAGGAGATTTTAAACTGTTTTGACGAAATACATATCTGTACAAGGCACCAGCTAGAGAGTAATTGTCAGTAAGCCAGTCATACAGATCATTGGTAAAGTAGAGAATTTGATACTTACTGGGTGCCTCAATGTTAAGATTAGTCAAATACAAGATTCAATTGAATTTTATGACCTTATTATAATCAACAAAAATTATACATTTACGATTCATCACAGAGAAAAACTATTTATCACTAATGACAAGAAAGCAGTTATGTAGGAAGATGGATTTGGTTTTGGAAGCATTAACAGATAATATTAGTAAAAAAAAAAAGAAAAAAAAAGAAAGAAAGTTGCCCAAGACAAGGGAGAAAAAAAGGAACAAATCAGAGAAAGATTTTAATAAGTCACTAATGTGACCCACACTCCAGTCACCATAGACAGCGGTCAGGCGGCGTTTACAATCCAAGCAAGTTGACTACAATTGCAGTAATGGTAGTCCCACTTCCCACCAGTCAGCATGCCAACAAACCAAAGAAATGTCAAAGAATTTACCAAGAAAACATTCAATGAAGTTCCAGATGTTGGCCGTGGAGGACGAAATGGTATGATGTTGTCGAGTGTAATCTAAGGCATAGACCCAATGGAGAAGTATTAAAAGAACATGTTATGAAGATAAGAAAGTAGGAGATCGAAACTGATGACATCAAACAAAAACAACCTTTTATAAATATTTCTCTAAGAATATTATATGTAAAAATGGCTTTTAAACAAAAGATACAAAAAAAAAAAAAAAAGATAAAATTTACCTTTAAAATGCCAATAAATATATTTTCATGCAATATTTATACATCTTACCTACCTGAAATAGGCTGAAGTGAAATTGAAGATTTTATTTGCAATTCCTAAAAAGCATGTTACTTGAAATTACTTTTGAATTACCCTAGTAAATAACTTTGATGTTAAAATAACTTACTTTAGTAGGCTTTTTGATTTCTTTTTTTTTATTCTTTACTATTTGCTGTAAACATTAATAGATTGACAACAAATTTCCATATTAATGTATACAAAAATCTAAAAGCATAAAGTTACTGTAAATAAACAGAAAGTTTAAATACTGAATTAACTACTTTAATTTTTTAAGAACTTTCCATGTTTCTGTCTTTTACAAAATACAAAGCTTATAGATATTTTTACTAAAATTTTTGTTTTACCATCTTCTAATACATTTCAATTGGTGTGTTGTTAAAATTATCCTTTATTTAATCCCACAATAAATAATGTATTCCAGTTGATAACATTTGAATAAAAACTATGTGGAAAGTTGAATGACATCTGAGGAAATTGAAAGTCAATTTTTAAAAATAATTTTTCAAGGAATTTCTAATATAAAAAAGAAAACATCTAAAACAAGTGATCAACCTAAGGATCAAAACTTTGAGTGACGTAATGGAAGAGAAGAGCTTTATCTAGTGGAATATAACAAATTATAAGTATAGAAAAGACAGAGAGAATGAAGCATTAAATAGTTTAACAATGAAAAAATAATACTGTAAACATTTTATGTTATATGAAATAAAAACATTAAAAACTCTCTACTCAAAATGAAAACTAAATTCAGTAAAATTATAGATTGATTTGAAGAAGAAAGAGGATTTCACTTTTTATAATGTTAAAGATAATCTTTTTTTATGTGATAAAAGCTAGTGGAAATAACTTAAGACAGTATTTCAATATTAAAATATTTTCAAAAATGAACAGAGAAAAGGATTTCAAATTGAAAGTCACTGAAGTAAACTGCATATCAATAAAGAGAAATTTTATTAGCATTTAACAAAATGAAAGAATTGTTAATTTTTTTACAATATCATTTTTAACTAAAATTTTATAAAAACATTTTAAAATCAATATTGTAAAGTAGAATTCAGAGCAAACTTTTAGCTTCATCTAATTATATACTTCTACTTAAATGCATTAAAAAAATTTTGTCTTGTAACAATTATATTAAGATGTTCTACAAAGTAGGATTAATAAGCTATGAAATAAAAATAGAGAAAGGGAAAGAGACTGTGCTAGAGGAATTGATATTAGTATATTGTAGGGCAAAACACAATGTTTGTATTACCAATATGCAAATTAGAAGGCAAACAACCTATCACATACATTTCTTTATACTTAATGACACTTCATGCGACTAGACTGATAAGAAAATTTCTTATGCACTCAAATGAAAGAAAACTAAACCAGATTCTAAATTTGTAAAAGTTTATAATTCATTTTTCCTCACACAAAATTTACTTGAGATGCTTGCATTTTAAAACATCTGGTTATTTTAATGAATCATCTATGTTCAAAGTAAATTCTAAACTTTCATGTTGAAGAAACATAAATATGAAAAATCATTTATGTTGAAACATTTTTATTGTCTTGATTTTATTTCTCTTTAAACAAGTAAAGATTACTCCTTTATTAATTCCACTTATTTTTCTAAAAATAAGAATTGATAAGCTAACCTGATTCATTAAGGAATTACTGGCCACAACATACAAATTAATCCCTGTACTCAAACAATGTTTATCATGGAAATAGTTATGCTCAAGTGTTTGAGATCTAAAAAACATTTTTTTCAACCTGCTTTCCCACTTTAAGCTCTTACAAGTTTCTCTGATATATGATCAATTTAAAGAGAAATTTGTTAAACAAAACTACTTGTTTTGCTAGTAAATTAAAAACTTATTTGTATTTTTGCTAAATGTAAAGATTATATATATTAAAATATATTTAAAATACAATAAATATCAATCTAATTTTAAAATAAAGGTAGGAAGGAATCAGGAGGAGGAAGATACAGAGAATGAATTATATATATATATATATATATATATATATATAAAATGCGTATGTGTTGAAATAAAGGAGAAATAAAGATGTCTGGAAAAAAAAAATTCCTAAAAGATATTTTGATCAGATCATGAGAGCACAGCAGGATGAGATTGTGCCAGGGTGCCCGCCAACCTACCATCCAACCACAAGAGACGTGAGAACACTGCAAGAATGGCAGTGGCCAGTTGCAGTGTTTGCAGTGGTGGTGGTGGCAGCAACAGGGACACATCAGCAGAGAAGTTGGAACAAAACACACAAAGCAGTTGTTTATAGTACCTGCCCATATGCATCCTCTTTGCCGACACCTCGCCCTAGGAAAGTCCCCGTCCCCCGGAACAGATCTTGAGACTTTCTCTGAATGCCTTCCCAGATCTGTTCATGAAACGATTGCGATTTGATCAGGCCACTTCCTTTGTAAGTGGAGCCTCGGGGTGTTGGGCTATCCTGCCAGTCTTCCAGTGTTTCCTCGGAACCAGAGAACTGAGATAGCATGTCATAGTTCACCATTGCCCATGTGGCCTAGAAGACAACAGGGAGGATAAATGGTTTACAAAAAGGCTGCAACAACCTGGCTGCAGGGAAGTAGGTAGGTAGGTAGGTAAGTAGGTAGGTGTGCTTCACTCATTGATGTAGCAGCAGAACATCAGGTTTGACAAAAGGACGTTTTCACAAGCTTCTTGGACCACCAACATTTTTTCCTAAATCAATGCATTTGCTAAAGAAACATTTATTAACTTAGAAATAGATATCAATACATTTTTTGTATGTTTTTTATAACTGAAATAATTTCTTAGTCAAAATAAATAACCCTACCCAAATCCTAATATAAAAATGAAAAGCAGACATTTCAAATCTTCATTATTCTGACCTTCCAAAAATGTAACTTTAAATCTAAATCAAGCTCATCTTTTGTTGGTTCCATTTTCAAAAATAAATATTTTTCAAAGTTTCCTTTAATCTGATATTTTTTTAATTAAAAGCAATCTGATTTATTCAAAAATATATAGGAGCAAGCATTGTATCTGATAAAACTATTTTTCAGTAAACAAGTGCTATTATAGTCTACTGTTTAAATTATAAAGTAAACATTCCTTAAGTGTCAGTAATAAAAATTATTTACTCATTCTAATTCATTGCATTTTTAAAACCTGTATTAGTCACTGATTAGAATTATTAGAAATGCATCTTCAATCCATGCAAAAGCGTTAAATATTTAATAAATTGTTTGAGAGATGTAATGAAACTAATCTATTGCAAAATAGTTTAATGGTCAAGAACTGCTATTTACTAAGATGAAAAATATTTTTTTTGTTCAGGTGTCATATTTTTACTCAATCAGAGATTTCTAGAAAGTTCAAGAAATCCAAAACAATATTTATTCTTTAAATGTTTTAAAGAATTATAAATCCTTTTTGGCTATTTTAAATCAACAATAGCATTAATTCACTTTCAATCAAAGCCATATTCTTATTGAAATTATGGTCAAACCTAATGAATTGGGTGTATTATTTTGTAAAAGATTTCTCTTATGTTCATAAAATCTTGTTTAAATTTCTACATGTCTCACCCATGTAATTCATGGAACATTTAACAGTATTTTTTACATTCCTACTTCAGGTTTAATATTATTTTGTTTTATATCAATTAACTACCTTATTCTTTTTTAAGTAGTTATAATAGATATTAACTGTCAATTAGCATTTCTTTCATCTTAATTTCAGTTGCTTTTTATTGCAACTACTTAAACTGTCAGTCTACAACCAAAACGCTGTAGACTGACAGTGCAGATTATAAATAAGCTTTCAGTTTTATATATATATTTTTAGCTACATAATTAAAAGATAAAAACAAAATATCCAATGATCTGGAAAAAAAATTAAACCAAAAATTACCAAAATTAAAATTACTTTTGTATTAACTATTCAAAAAAAAATAAATAAATAATCTCAGAAAGCTTTTCAGTATCAGTGTTTTTATTTTATTCAAATGATTATTGGAATTAAATTTTATTTTTTAATAAATCATTTTTTAAATCCAGAAGGTCAGATTACATGAAGGTAATATGATGTAATTCTCACTATAAAAACAAGGAAGAAAAACAATTCTTTGGTGATGAAAATATTAGCTTAAACAGATTGAGAATCAAATCAATGTTGAAGAATAACTTATCATATTTTGTCAAGTTCTATTAGCAAATGCAGAGAAAAATTCCCTATTTTAAGTGAAAGGAAAGTTTCACTCTTTTTGGGTTTTTTTTAATATCAATTCCAGTGCTTTCATTATTGTTACTTAAACTTTATCACAAATATTTGTTAAGTAGTTTAAATCTGGAAAAAATAAAAAAATAAAAAAGAATTTGAGAAAATAAAATTAAGCACTGCTCTTTAGAAAAATTACAATGGATGGCATGAATATATCAACATAAGAGTCCTCCTTTGAAAAAAGTAGTGACACTACATTTTTTAAAAAGTGTCGGTGGACAGCAAGAAGTTGTAAGAAAATGACCATAGCATCCTGATTTCACAGTTGATCAGTTACTGGTTGATGATTAGAGGTTGGTTTGTTTCAGTTCATTCCATGCAGACCAAGTAACAGCATATTAGCGTTCAAGTGCAGTTACATTGTGTGATATGAACACACCCACACATACACACACCCACCCACCCACGCATTCAGTCACTGTTATACACTCAGTGCTTGAAAAGATTAAAAAGTGACAGCTATACAATAGTAAGAAAACCAATCAACAGCACAGCAACATCCAGATTAACTGCATACTGTTGTGCTGTTTGCTTAAATGGCATGCAACAGTTTATAATCTGAGGCAGACAGTGATGAAATATTTACAAATAAGTTGAGCCATACTGATAAAGTCTACAACAATAATAACAACACAGTTGTCATGCAACATGCTCATCTATAGCAACCAAGGAGAAAAAAAAAAAGAAAAGATTAATTTCAGCCTTTCCCCCTCCTGTCCTTGATGCAAACAAACAAACAAACAAAAAATTGTATCCAATGTGGCAATACTAATGGTGCAGATTGTGTTGGATACTATTTCTAAATAACATGTTGCTGGTAGATCTGATATTCATATAAAAATTAATTTTAGCTATAATTATCAGAAGAAAAAAAATTGAATTCCTGATACTTCCTTAGAATCTCTTTTCAATATTTTAATTTTTAAGTATTTGCCTTATTAATGCTCTAAACTTTGTGAGTTCATTTTTCAGATATAAAGTAAATTATGCTTATTACAAGTAGATTTTTCATTTTCATATTGATTTCAAATAATTAAATAAGTTTATCTCAAAATATCTTGAATTTAAAAAAAAAATGATTCATTAAACAAATAAATTCTTCTAGAACTAAGTATATTTTTTTCATAAAGCTTTTGTTGTAAAATTTTAGCTATTTAACTGAGCACAGAAAATGTATTCCTCAATTTAATTCATGATTTTATTAACCATAGCTACATTTTTTCTAATCTTTTGCTGGAGGCAGTATTATTGATTTGGAATATTTCTATCATAATAATATATTATAATATTAAATGTTTTATATTGTAAGAAAGGAATATAAAAAAAACCATATTGAACATTCTAATTTACAGCATAATTTAAATTTTCTAAAGCTAAAAAAAAAAAATTCAGTAACCTTAACAATTGCTGTGCATAGCATGTTTAAAACTTCACTATTATTTAATTAGCCAATGTTTCAAATTTTATTTTGTACGGTTATTCAACAAAATTGAAAAATGCAAAACACCAATAAAAAGAATATCATTTGTAAAAGATACTAACACTTAAAATGCCTTAAAATTTCAAGAGAAATTCACCTAAAACACTAAAATATTTTCACATTACTGAGTGCAAGGAGAAAATTATGATGAATCAAAGGAAGATATGTGATAAAATTGTATGTAAAATTATGCTGTAGTGTAAAAATTGAAAGATCAGTGCTTATTACAATATACACAAGCAAATAAATGATCTACTCTAAATTAACATAAAAAGTGCACTTTGGTGGACAGGTTTATTAATTTTCAGTTGCCAGCTAAGATTAAGCATACCTTTGAAATAAGCTCTTAAACGAACAAAATAAGATACAGTTGGTGTAAGAGAAGCTTAAATTGATGGTTAACTAAAGAAACAATTGCTAATTGAAAAAAAGTGTTAAATTATTGTTGTTTAAAAAAATAAAAATACTTAACTCCTTTTAAAAGTTACTGTCACAAATTTAAGGTTTATAGAATCTAAATGTAAAATTTTGTATATTTCTTGCAAATTTTGTGACAAGAATGTATCATGATTAAAAGAAAATAAATATTCACAATTTGTAGTAGAACTGTAGGCCATTGAGACTAAAACTGCAGTAATAGAAAAAAAAAAAAAAAACTGAGCATGCTATAAACAACAGTTAAATAAACCAGAGAGATAGCATGAAAAGCAACAAAAAATTACTTAAGCAGCACCAATGCCTAATATATATTCTAGAAACAAATAAGTTCATAAAGCAAACTTATTTCCAAAGGTATTCTTTTGGGAAATGATGGATTTCAGAGAAAAAATAAAAAATTATATATATATATATATATATATATATATATAAAATCAATCACTTTAAACGTTATTTTTAGTGGACATTCGTATTTGAGTAGACACTATTAAATAGTATATTTATTTACTTTTGTCCACTGGGCTGAATATTTGAGAAAAATTTACTCTCTGGCAGGATTTGAACCTGTGTCCCTCTGGTCAGAGAGAGCTATTGTTAAATCCAATACATTCTGACCAACTGAGTTACAAAGAACCAATTAGTCAGGCAAGGATGAATCTGTGCCTTTAAGTGAAAATTTCTCTTATCATAGATCTCCCAAAATTTTCATATCTGCCTAGTTTCATATCAAAACATAAACAAATAGAATTTTAAAGAAAGTAATGGATTTTTTTTTTATTTATCTGACAGATTTTTTATCATTTCAAATGGTATTTTTAGTGGATATTCATATTTGAGTAGGCACTTAGTTCATTTATTAAACAGTATATTTATTCATTTTCGTCTACCAGCCTAAATGTTTGAGAAAATTTATTTAAAGAAAAAATGATGCTCTCTGGCAGGATTTGAACATGTCTCTGTATGGTTATCATTAAATCCGATGTGCTCTGACCAACTGAGCGACAGAGCACTAATTCAACCATCAAATTCAATAATTCATAAATCTTAGAAGAACTTGTGAATCAGTGAATGAGTAAAGATCATCCATATGACAGCATAACTAAAAGAAGATTAACGGAGCTTGACTATTGAAGTGATTTCCTGTCACTTAATCTGAAGTGTAAGCCACCAATTACATGTGGTGTGAACATTCAGTAGATGGAATATTAATAAAGATATATATATATATATATATATGCGTGTGTTATGCCTTGAAATAATCCAATAAAAAGATTATTCACGACTGATGCATAACCTTTATATGCTATATAATA